TATGTTTTTTAGAAGGTGTACCTAGAGGTCCGCTAAGAAAGGATTAAAAAAATCAATCTCTAAGGGGGTGAGATGGGGTGTAAACTTTTAAACAAAGATAGAAACAAAACCCTTGGAAGATATGTTACTTAGCGGTTGTAAAGGTGCACTAAGACGAGATTTTTTTTAATAATTACTAAAAACTTATTTACTCCTTTAAAAAATGGGGTGAAACGGGGTGTATACGTTTAAACAAAAATAGGAACATGAAAATTTTTCAGATATGTTCCTTAAAGGGTGTACGGATTTTTCCAAAATTAATCTCTACGGGGGTGAAATGGAGTGTAAATATTTAAACGAAGATAGAAAAAAAAATTGAGGATATGTTCCTTAGCAGTTATAAAAGTGCACTTAGATGAGTTTTTTTTTTAAATAATAAGTAAAAACTTATTCACCCCTTTTCTAAGGGGGTGAAACTGGATGTACACATTTAAACGAAAATAAAAACATGAAATTAGAGAGATATGTTCCTTAGAACATGTAGATGTCCGTTAAGAAAGAATTTTTCGAAAACCAATTTCTTAGGGGGTGAAATTGGGTGTAAACCTTTAAGCGGTGACAAAAACATAAACTTTGGAAAACATATTCCTTAGAGGGTGTACACTTCTATTCACAAAAAAAGCGTACACGTATTGAGGACTATTGTAAATGGGATATTTTAATTAATCGTTTCCAAGAAAACGTATTACATACTGTACTGACATTTTCACATTTTGTATGTCAAATGTGTGAAAATCGCTGTCAATTGCTATTTACAATTGAATTATACCACGACATATAATACCATTAACAAGAGCGTGATTATTACTAATAAGTTGGAAGATGGGTGGTCTAGGTATAAAAGAACTGAAGCACTATTTTAAAGAAGTCCCGACCTCAACTACATAGAAAACGTCTGAGGCCGTATGGCAAAAGCAGTGTCTAATAAACTGAATGTCAGGCCTCCTACTGCAAACGAACTATGGAAAATTGTGGAAAATAAATATAAGGGAAAGTTTAGCGAACGATTAAACTTATGCCCATGCACTTGTTCACTCAATGCTCCGTAGACTAATTGAAGTGAACGCAAAAACCGGCGCGATTACCAAATATTATTAAATGGTTTGCTATCTTTATTAAAATTGTTGTTGAGAATTGCCTTTTTTGTAAATTTGTGAATAAAAGTTTATGAATTGTGTTTGTACTATCTATTTCAGTTGATAGTAGAATTTGATAAACAGGGTTTTTAGCGGTTTTACCAAAGTTGTGTTGACTCTCGTAGCCATGATTTTCGATTTTATTTTTTAAAGGTGGCAATGATGTTTTTTTCTGTCACATTGAAATTAAAGGTTATGTACGATGGTTTTGGGGTTTAATAAAATTTTAAGGCACAATCACGTGCTTTATTCAAAACATCCAACAGCCGAAGCTTGTTTTTGGATGAAACATCAGTGAATAACTCCGATTACCTCCGATAAAAAAGTGTCGATCAAATTAAAAGTTGGAACACCAAATCCAAGTCCAAGAATTTTGTTCAAAACGTTGATCGAACCTCTGATATGAAAGATTTGTAAGAAGAAAAGCATCTTCTTGTTAGAATCTGTTAATCATGTCCATGGTGTTTGTGGCAGTTATCAATTTACAAATAAAACTTTTGAATGTTGCACAAAAGGTTGGTTCTTCTTAATAAATCAAAGATCGTTATTGATAATAACAAACATTTTAGCTACACCCATAGTTTTAATTAACAAAATTGTTATGAAACATACCTTGCACCTTGTACAAGGGTAATGTGCCTCACAACTTATTGTTCCCAAATGAAACGCAGTTGCCTCAAGGAAACTTTTAGTGGTGCAGTGGTTTAGTTGATTAACTAAAAATCGGAAAACCCTCCAAAAATTTCGTAGATATTTGACTTATACTGGATAACAAGATTGTTTTATTACCTTTTGGTAAATTTCAAAGGTTTGTTAAGGACTAATAGTTAACCATCACAAATTTAGTTTTGTGCTTCAGTGATAGGAGTTTGTGATATAACGTGTTTTGGTGTTGGTATGTTGGAGGATTAGCATAATTCTTTATTGTGACGATAGTTCTGCAGTTCATCGAATCATTTAAAAGAAATTTTTGCTCCTATGAATAAGGTCACAAGCAGGCCTATCTAGGGGGAAGCAAACCCAAGTTGATCCTTTCTTTGGTTTTGAGCAAGAACGAATATTGTTGGATAAAATTTCCAGATTCTACTGACTTTGCCTGCAGATGCTTCTATCTGAGTTGATTATATCTGATAGATTTGCAATTACCTTTTATGAGTAAATTGAAAATAAAAGTATTTTTCATATACCTTCGAGTGATTTAACCAAAATTGGAGCTCAATAAAACTCGTTCAAATACTATTCAAACACTCATGTTTTGGGTTATTTTAAATATCTAAATCAAATAATATGTATTGTAGTCCCTTCGGTTTCCGTTAACGAGCACATTAAAATCAATTTTAATAAATAAACTCAAGATTTACTAATTAAAACACCAGCTGTTCGTGGATTGTCAATAAATGTCAAAATGCTGTCAAAAGTGATCAGTGTATTTGTCAAGGTTACTTCGTTGTGCATAAAAGTTGAGTACACTCGTAAATTGTGACCTTGAGAATTCTACTATCCAGAGAAATATAGTGTAGTAATCGATAATAGTTGCCTATAGCTTGTTCCAAATCTGGTGGCGAACTGACGTTGTCAAAAATCACTGAATTTTGACACTAAACATATGTTTACTATTAAAAATAATATTGTTCATAGGCGTCGTATGAAATCATATATTTCAAAACCACTGTTATTTTTTAAAAAAATATAATAAGTAGGTACTCGTACATAAGATGAAGAATAATGAACAAATTATTAAATTGTTAACGCATGAAACGAATTTTCAAAAATGATATTCCTAACAATTATCCATGTCTTTAAAATTTTTAAAGAAAAAAAGTACGCCCATGTATTTTTTTATCTTAAGCAAGTGGGCGCACTCCAAGTGTCTTTTCTGTCACTGTCAGTTCGCCACCAGATATGGAATAAGCTCTAATAAGGCAAACAATTTAAACATATTAAAATCTCCGAAAAATACAACGATAAAATCCAGCTATCAGCAAGGTTTTAGTTCCAGGTTTCTAAGTAACAACGATTAAAAGATAAGTTTACAATATGACAATCCAGCCAAAATTGGGCTCACTACTTGTACGCTTTTTTTTTGAAAAGAAGTGTACAGGTCCGCTAAAATTAAACGAAGATAAAAATATAAAATTTTGGGGCCACATGAAAAATTTGGTGTATGAAGTGGAAATAAATACAGAAGACCAACTTCGACAACGCATAGCAGACGCTGCGAACCAGACTCGTAATAACCTAGAACTACGGAGAACTACATACTACATTGTCTTTAGGTATCCGTATCCAGAACTAATGAATTCTGTTTATGAAAATTGGCACCGGCGCACTCAAATATGTATTAATGCTAACGGGAGGCACATTGAATATTTATTATAAAATATTTTTTCGAATTTAGTTTACACTTAATGTTTTCAATACAGCTTACCTTTAAAAATTGTTATTATTCTTAGTTAAAGTTTAAAAGTAGGTAAAATGTAAATAATTTATTCAGTACATTATTATTTTGGGTGTAAACACAACTAAAACGATCCTCTTGTTACACAATTCTTCCACAATTTTGTGCACACTGGGTCTACATTTATTTATAATATTTTTGATAAACACCACATTATTTTTTTCACTTCTCATTTATCTTAGCTTACAAAATTAGCTGTTTGTACTTACAAACTTACATTACCTGATGTTTAATGCACAAAGCGTACAGCGTTTTCAACAAATGCTATTAATTTAATTCAATTTGTCAGATTTGTCAAAAATATCAGTTACAAATGATTTAAGTATGGTTGCTTAGATATTCGCATTCTTACAAGCACTAACAATTAATTCCTGACTATGACTGTGATCAGTAGCGTCGAATGTGTTTTATTTATCCCCATTATTTTTGACCTAACAAAAAGAGGTTTTCCGGACATGTTGAAGCTTTTTAATGACCCAGAATTTTTTGGCAGCTTATATTGGGACCAGCCTGTATAGCGTAATAGTTTTCTTCTACCATAAATGTCATCTTATTAAAATATCAACCTCAAGACCGTGTACACCCTGTATTTACGATCCCTTTGAACTCTAACATAACTTGCGATCTTTTTTTTTTTTAGTTTGCAATAACATCTAGGAACATTTATTAAGTTGATACCGCTACGGTTGACATAAATTGAATCCGATTGTTCACAACTTTTTTCAGGTAGCAAATGGGAAACGGCTTTGTTCGGACGCTTTTTCACTTTTGGTGGTGTGCATCCTTCACTGTCGCTCATTGTGAATTAAATACAAACGATCTTTCACTAAAAGTGACAGTGACAGTATAAGTGACAGTTTAATTCATTACCAAAAACAACTAAATTATGATAAATTATTCTTTTTTATTTTTATTTTTTATTATGACTTACTTGTTACAAAAAATATTGTAGTGCCTAAGTTATTTGGAAAGCAATTTTTCACATTTGCAATTCATGCAGTAGGTACTCCGTGCGGTCGTGCTGCAAACAAATTGCTCATGTGGGAAATTGTATATTCCAAACACGTTAGATAAAAATAACTGTTGCAGTATGACAGCTTTGTTTGTGGTACGAGCCCGTAGGGCGATTTCTGCATTAGCTGTACTTTAAGTAAGGAAGTTCACCAATGTGCTCAGCGAACCGCTCGCAGTGTCGAATGTCGACTTTTTTATTTATCTTCATTTCTACTATAAAATATAAACGTTTGCAAAATTATTTGAAGTCCATACGTCGTTTTCCCTCCCTTTTAATTTTAATCCATTCCGTGAACTCGCTTTTTTATTTTTATTTTTTTTATTTTAACACAGTTTTATGTTGTGTGTTGTAGCGCCCGTTCCTTTGGAGCCGATGGTTCCTCTCCCGGTACCAATGCCTCCCGTCGGATTCCAACTAGTTCGTGACCCAACAACCGGAGGTCTCCTTCTTTTGCCCACAACCGGAATAGGTTAGTCGGGTCTTTGTTTCACCGCTCTTTGTTTGCACACATTTCACATCATAGACGTCCAAGTTTTCAATAGAAGTTTTAACAAAGTTGTGTCTTTTCAGAGCCCCTCCAACAAGCTGTGGTTTGGCCTAGCTACCACCAAACGCCTTCAGTTTTGTTACCACCACTACCACCACCTCCTCTACAACTTCTAAGTTCTGCTTCGTCAGATTATTTATCAAGTAGTACAACACTCCACCAGCACACGCAAACTCACAGCACACGTTTGGTGGCGGTAACTACAGACAGTAAACGAAAAATTCCGTTACCCATTCCAGCAACTACTTTGATTAAAATAGAGACAGACGCTACATTAGACCAAACAAAGACCCTCCAAGCTGTTAGTACTATTGGAAATAGCACGGGTACTGTTTTTACCGACCAAAATATGGCTCCGTTGGTCACAACTCATGTCATATATCAGCATCCTAATTTAATTTTGTCACAACCGACAACTTCAGAGACATTGTGCAGGTCGCAGGCGACCTCACCAGTTACTTGTCTGACACCGCCACCGGAAAATGTTTCAATTCCCGAAGAAGAGCCTCTTGCAGTGCAAGACGCTAGCAATCAGACGGATACTCCAATTTGTAGTGAAGACGATAATACTACACTTACAGTTGCAGAACACCACGAAATAATTGAAAATAAAGAACCACAAGGAAGTGCTTCCATTAGCCCAGTACCTGAACAAATACAAGATACTAAACTAAAAGAACCTGAACAAGTGCAAAAAAAATCTACTCAAAAAGAGGAAAACGGAAGTCAAGTACAAAATGAACACAAGTCAAAACCAGACATTAGTGGTTTAGAACTGCTATCCAACAGCATAGTTGAGTTTGAAAATGGTCGAGGTAGTGTCAAACTCGAACAAATGGAACATAAAGAGACGGGAGAAACTCTAAAAAACTATGAGAAAGAGTCAGAGCGATCCCAAACTATTAATGATACTTTAGGTGGGTTAAAGCTATTGTGTGCGCTGGCAGAGCAACGAATTATGGAAGAAAACGTTGAAAAACATAGGATTGAAAAGGAAAAATCCAAGGAACACAAATCAGAAAAACGAAAGCTGAAGAAAGAACACTCAGATGAACACGAGTCTAAACGAAAGAAGAATAAAAGAGATAAGAACGGATTTAAACATGAGTCATGTAGAATCTCAGTCACAAACTCTGTAGAAGATTGCATTTGTCCTATAGAAAATTACAGATCATATAAAACACCTGAGTCGGAAGAAGAAGTGAAGAAATTCATCGCCAGTAAAAGCCAAGCTTCATGTTGTGACGGCGATTGGCCTCAGATGAACGAAATGGAACTTGACATGAGAATGAAATTGGCAGACTTGCAGCGCCAATATCGCGAGAAACAGAAAGAACTCAGCCGTTTGAAACCTAGAAAATATCACTCACAAGAATGCAAGAAAAGGTGTCGTAAGAAGTCCACACATTCAGATTGCAGTATTACACCACCACCTCAATTGGACAAGATTGATATGTCTTTAACCACATACAAAAATCAGGAATTACTCAAACCCCCAACACTTTGCGCCTTTGATAATACTAAAACGCCTAAATTAGAAGCAATAAAACAAAGCGACAGGATAATCAACGATTATAAAAATGATCTATTAAGACAACAAGCGTTGGAAGAATTGGAATCGTCACCGGAAAAAAATTCCTCTTCGAAAAAACGGAAAGTCGGTCGGCCCAAAAAACTTTTGTCCCCTTTGGGTTGTCATGTGGCTACTGAAACTATTGTAGCCAAGAAGCCTAAAAATAATTTCGTAGGCTATTTCCTCGCAGCTAAGGAAAAATTCCAGCTGCAAAGTAAGATGTACGCAAATAGTCCACCACGATACTTGGAGGAGCCCACAATCACAAATAAGACAAAGAAAAACAAAAACAATAACAACATAATTATCGCTGATATAAAATCGTGTAAAATACGCCCGAAACTGAAAGCCGAACTTACCATCAGAGCGTACAACGACGAAGAGGAACACGAATGGGAAACAGAGCTAGAAGAGAATGATGAAGTAGAAACAGAAGAAAATGATGTATTGGGAAAATTATTGGTGGAGGAAGTTGTTGAAGAGATACAAGAGGTACATGAAAATATTGCTCAAGAAATGGAAGATGTTAAAGATGTAGAAGAACCGAAACCTGTTGATAATAGATGTATTTTGAATGCGGAACATTTGGAAATTGACAAATTAAGAGTTTTAACCGCAATGGGTGGCCTTTTCTACGCTGGACACTTGAATGCCGTAGAACCTCCTGATGTTTATTCCATTACACTAGATGGAGAAAGAGGAAACCGTCCACACATCATGTCCAGAGAGGAGATCTTGAGGGATGCGGTAAGTTTTTTTTTTAATTTCTTGTAAATCTCATAATTGTCTGTTGTTGTGTATAATTCCACCGGAAAAAAATTATGACATTACAATTTTGAAATTGTAAATAATTTTGATATTAAATCTTTTGCTTTTGTTTATTTGACTTGTGTCAAAACTACCATCTATTGGCGGAATGGGAAAACTGACAGCGCGTGCAGGGCTGTCCAAAGGCTTTGAAAAAGCCTTTCGTCGTCTTATAATATATTTTAGGTGAAATAGGTAATGGAGAACTTTTAAATACTTTATTATAAACTAGCATTTACTCGCGACTTCATTCTGATCTAAAATGGAAAATGACCCGTTCACAAACAATTCTCAACTCTTATTCTGTGAAATTGGATACCCATGCTTTGTATGGGATTCAGCTATAGTCCCGTTCTTGGCATGGGCTTTATTTATGAATTATGGGTGGTGTGTAGCCGCCCATTGTTTGATTTTGATTAAAATGTTATCTAACTTCAAAAAAAAAATCTAAAAGAATTACAAACTCTCAGAAGAGGAATTATTCAAAAATACTAGTTATTTATTCGACGAGTTTGAGTGTAAATCGGACGCTTTATTTGACCGAGTGGATTTTTAAACCACGAGTGTAACGAATGGTTTACCATCCACGAGGTGGAATAAAGCGTCTGATTTACACTCAAACGAGTTGAATACAACATTTTATTCTTCGAATTAGACTCAACAACGCTTAAACTTGCTTTAAATCTGTTAAAAATAATTTGACGTTTTGTACTGAGAAATGCCAAACAGTTGTCAAAACTTCCTTACACGGGAGAAAAACCGTAAATTTTGACAGTGTCGAAGAATAAATTTTATTTATACATTACATACGCGTGACATCGTCCACATAAATTTCTAATATAAACTTTAGTTAATTTCAAAGAGGGAAGGTATACTAGATTTCATTGAAATTGGCATAGTAGGTGGGTATGGAATTTCGTATTTAAGTTTGTAGCCCTGCGCATGTCCCTGATATAACAGCTGATGGGGTTTTTGTTTTTCTTTGATTACTTACCTACATGGTTTATTGGACTGACATGACTGACATTTATTATTTTCGTTTTTTCACTGTTTTCGTTGCTTATTCGTTATTCCCACTATTTTTTCAAATTATAATTAAAAGTAGTTCTCTTCAGAACACCAGATTTAAACTACACGCTAAAGTGTGTTTGAAAACATAATCAATCTCTTTTTGTTGTTCCTGTTTTAGGCATTTTAGGTTAATTTAATGAAATATACCAATTTGAATTAAGCCAAATTACTTTATCCATGGCAAAACACGATTTTTCAGGCTTCAGTACGCGAAGCTTCATTTTGTACAGATTTCCTTTTTCCCCTCCGATCGCAACAACATTACCATTGTTTAAAAATTCAAAATTTTCTCCTAAATTTTTAATGACAAAATCCAAACCCCTTCTGACTGCACCTTTCACCGAAAACAAATTGTGTTTCATCTCCGTTGTGAATAAAATGTCTTTTAAAATTCCTAGAAGTCACTTACTATCAACGAAAGTCTGTATTTTCTACAAAGCAAATAGTGTATGTTTTTGGTGTTAAAACTACACCTACAAAGGGATGAAACAGGATGTTAAACTTTTTATGGAAAAAATTCTCTCTGAAAACCTGAAAACCTCTGAAAGAGGGTTCTTTAAAATTAAAATTTTAACTATCTTAACCTCACTTTTTTTAGTGACAAATTTAGTTCCTTAATATGTAAAGCGTTTTTCACATTTAAAGCGCGGTTTACACTATCATGGCCTACTGTTATGCCAATTTCAATGAAATAGATTATAACGTGAATTTATTCTTCGACTATGTCAAAATTTACGGTTTTTATTCCATGTAAGGAAGCTTTGACAACTGTTTGGCATTTCTTAATACGAACCGCGTCAGATTATTTTTAACAGATTTAAAGCAATTTTGAGCCTTGTTGAATCTAATTCGATTCGGACGTTTATTTCACGGAGTGGATTATTAAACCACGAGTGTTAACAACACTCAAACCGTGGTCTGCGTTGATTGAGAATAATAAAGTCTATGCCCATATGTCTATGCAATAGGCCAAAATCGTCAAAATGTTAAATTCCGGTAGATGACGCGCGCCTCACGCTCCAAATGAAACTGTAATTAGTGAAATTTGAAATTTTGCAAGAAGTGAAATGTGACCATTATTGACAGATTTAATCAAATATTGATCTGTCACACAACCAATCTATTTTTTCAGCTTAAGAAGCGCAGTATCATTTCAGACATTACATTATAATTCTTAAAATGCCAAGTATTCAAACTTGCTGTGTTCCAAACTGTGGACAAGGAAAGAAAGAGGATGTTATTTTACATCAATTTCCAAAAAGTAGAAATCAAAAGAACGAATGGATTAAGAAAATATTTGGTACCATCGGCAATATACCCCCAAATTCCGTGATTTATAGAAAATTCTTTGAAATAACGAGTTATTATAAAAAACAAAAATTGTTACCAAATGCAGTTCCATCCTTGCTGTTGAATTAAGTATAAAAGAATTACTCGTTTTCAGCTAATCTCTACCACTTCCATTAATTCAGAACGTAAGCTGTTAGAAACGCCTGCACCGTGTCTCCAATCCTTAGACTTATTTGACAAAAAATATTTAATTTCAAGTCCATTTCGATTTGATTTTGATTAACAAAGCGATTGAAAAGTAGGTGATACTCATGATTTTGATGTAAAAAATGTTCCAGATGCAATAATTTCGGAAGAAAAATTTGTCTTACTAGATAAAATTCAAAATTTAGAAAAAAAGTTACAGGAACTCAACGGGAAGCCAATATAACATTTCAAAAGTTGAATAAGCTGTACGAAAATAAACTTGAAAAAAGGAATTGCAGGAAAAAATTGACAATTACAGTAAAGGTCAACATTGTGTAGTGAAAATTGACTCAGATGCAAAGGACTTAGAACCAAGGGCTGTGTTTTTACTTGAGTTCATTTATAATTATTTTCTAAAAAACCCAAGATGGTTTTAAAGTTACAGTACGTTATTTGGTATTGCCTGGAGGTACACTTCTCCAAATGATTATGATATTGCAAGAAGAAGTCAATTTTTAAAAGCTCCATCATAAATAACTTGAACAGATATATGGGAAATTCTGAAGGGGCTTTCTCAAAGCAAAAAAATAATAGAGAAGAATAGGGAACTAATTAATAGAGGATAAAATTAATCCTTGTGTTTTTTATTCGAAGTATTGAAGAAATAATAAAGAGTTATTGTAATTTTCTTGTAAATTTGTAAAATAACTATTTAACCCTAATGTATTTTTTTTAATAAATAAAATTATATTTGCTTATAAATTGTTATAATTTTTGATATTTTTGGTCTAGTTCTTAGAAAAAAATACAATCAACAAAAAATTATTATACAACCCATAAAATACAAAAGAAAATTTTTATATACAAAAATTTATCAAAGTTTTAAACTGTATATTCCGTTGGAGCGCTGACTTTTCTGTTGACATTGCGTAGAATTTTTATTACTGTCAATCAACGCAAACGACGCTCAAATTCGTCAAATAAATAACTATTATACAGGGTGATTCACGAGGACTAATGAGCCTGAGCAAATTCTTGATGCAACCAACATTACAGTTTCATAGGTCAGGTAGATTTCAAAGATTTTTTGTAATAAATATGAAATCATAGCAAGCACACTTACAATTTGTCAGTTTTGATATTAAAATAATGAAAAACAGAAATAATTGAAATGCCAACACAATAATGGGTATATTAAAATACGAAAGCACAAAGTAACTTGCGAAAGTGTAATGGAGGCTGCATCAAGAATTTGGTCAGGCTCATTATTCCTCGTGAATCACCCTGTATTTCGTTCGCCAACTCAAATCATCGCGAAAGATGAGAATTTTCAAAAAAATGTATTTTAGTACACCTTTACAACCACTAAAGAACATGTCTTTCAAATTTTATGTTTATGTTTTCGTTTAAAAGTTTGCACCACGCTTCACCCTCTTAAAAACTTATTTTGTAAAAATCTTGGTCCTGGTGCACCTCTACACCCTCTAAGAAACATATCTTCCAAATTTCATCTTTCTATTTTCGTTTATGTTTTCGTTTAAAAGTTTACACCCCACCCCGTTTTACCCCCTTAAATACTTATTTTAGAAAAATCTTGGTACCAATACACCAAATATCATGTTTCTATTTTCGTTTAAACCGGTACACCCCATTTTACCTTCTTTTCTAAGGGGGTGAATAAGTTTCTACTTATTATTTTTGAAAAATCTTGTCTTAGTGCACCTATACAACTGCTAAGGAACATATTCGTATTTTACAAATTTTTTGTTTCTATCTTCGTTTATACATTTACACCCCACTTCACCCTCGTAGAGATCGATTTTCGAAAAATCCTTTCTTAGCGGACCTCTACACCCAAGGAACGTATCTGCCAAATTTTATGTTTTTTGCTTGGGTGGATTAGGCAATGCGTTACTGTCAGTCAGTCAGTCACGGAACTCATTTATACAGGGTGTGTCAGAAAAAAATTCCAAGTAAGATAAGATACCAGGAACATGGAAAAAATGTTTAAAAAATTCTATCTGTCAAATAATTTTGACATTTGATATTTTTTATGTCTATTTAATGATAATCTTGTATGTTTTTTTTTATAATTATTTAGTAAAAGTACAAAATTTTTGCCAACAAAAGTCACAAATAACATTAAACAGTTACAATTTAGGACAATGCTTCCTTGTTTCCTCTTCTAATAGCCTGTAAAAAAAACATCGTCAATTATTTTGCATCAGAAATAAATAGAGTGAAAGTGTCAGGTTTAAACTCTCATAACTTCGAAATTTTTTACATAGAATTTTTTTAACATTTTTTCCATGTTCCTGTTATCATATGTACAGTCACCCAAAAAGAAAATGACGCGTCCATAAACTAACGCCTGCCGATCCCATGACCGCAACCAACCCCTGTCATAAATTATCAGAGTTCGTAAAATAGTTTTGAGTAATGTCCGACATTTCGTTTATCGTCTTTTGGAATGTTTAATTAATCCAAAGAATGTAGGTGTATTTGGTTGCAAAAAAAATCGGAAAATGTCAAAGCATAAAAATGTCAGATTTTTATATTTATTCATAGTTTGAACATGGCTTAATTCTAAAAGGTTAAAATAAAACTGACAGTTAATCGCAGTACTCACTACTCATTGAATTTTTTGGTAAGTACTCAACTAATTGATTATCTTGATTTGCATTTAATGCTCTCGGCATTTATGTGCGGCATTGCATAAAAAATTATTTGAATATGACAGATGGCAAACTGACATCTAAATTGACAAAGGCAAAACTTGTTTCATTCTAAAGAAAATTCAGTTTTCCGTTTTTATTGCAATCAACTTGTATTTCTGAAGGCGGCCGAAGGGAGCCGAGGGCATTTTCTTCAAGGGATTAACGACGTTTGTTTCATACAAAACTTTCTTCCCTTCAGACTAAGTTAATAATAACATAAGATTGTCCAATTGTCCAATAATGTCAAATAACAATAATTTGTCAAAATATTCAATTGCAATTTCAAGGATAAAAATTAGTATCAAGAAGTTTGTTTATGGCAAAAACCACTCAAAAGATTCAATTCATTTAATTCCAGTTGATTTTAAGAATAAAATGGGTATCTCATTTATTTTATTTCCGGAGAAATAAAGTACCAAATATGTATGTACACCCGGGGAAAAAACTATTCACCAGTCTAAATTGGCGCTCACGCTGTGCTTTGTTGCAATAGTGTTTCAAACTAACTAGTTGAGGAGCAGGTATAATATGTTGTAAAACCCTTATTTAAGAAGATGGTCTGGACTGGAGGACACACGTTTCTTGAAAACTGTGTTATGGAAAATTGCTTCAATGAGTATGTCCCCGGATTGGGTTTATAGAGGAATTTTTTTTATCTTTGATTATACGCCAAAACTGCAAAAGAAAAACATTTCTTGCTTTATCTGAAACGAGCAAATTTTTAATTAAAACTTTACTATTCTAACTTAATAGAAAAAAAGTTAATTTTTCTCTTGATTTTGGACTTATTTTTTGTGAATTATTTTTCTCAGCGTTTTAAATCCCATCACATTGGCGGTTTTACTTTTTTAATAACAATGTGCCAAATGAGTTTACGCAAGTTAAATAACAATAATGTTCAAGAAAAATATAATTTTAATAAATGGCAATTCTAAAAAACAGCTTTAAGATAAAAAATACAAAGTTATTTTTAACAAAAACAATTATTATTCAATTAATTAATTAATTTTCAAAGTGACATCGTGGTCAAAAAACTAAATCGCCATTGTAATGAGATTTAAAAAGCAGAGAAAAATTATTATTATTATTATTATTATTATTATTATTAGTATATATCGAGCGATCAAGATAATTTGTAATCGAGTCCAAAAACGTATGTCTGTAAAATTATCTGGATCGCTCGATATATAATAATAATAATAGTTATTTATTGTAAGAGTGGATTAGATAGCGTTTTATCCACACACGACTGCAATATAACGTTTTATCCACAATCACAGGCCCAAATTATTCCAAACTAAATTAAAAATTAAACTGACATTTAAACGTCACGCCAAATGTGCTTTCGATTAAACGTAGTAAGCTGTTACGCGGTGCCCTGGTTACTAACAGTGGGATAAAGTTACTTTATTCCACTAGTAGATAAAGTGATACTTTATACGTATACTTTATACGTGTGGAATAAAGTCTCTTTATAGATTGATTGTGGATAATAATAATTTTTCTCTGCTTTGTAAATATTATCACATTGGCGATTTAACTACTCGTAACTATTAAAAACGAGGTAATAAAGCGTCACTTTACTCCCTGTTGAGAGGAAATATTTCTTAACTATAATATAAGACAGAAAAAGCGATGATTTGAAATTAATTTATTGGTCTGTGCCCAGGCCTGTGCTTTTTTACCCACGGAGCAAAAAAATTAATTGATACAAAAAGATAATGTGATAAGTTATAGGTACCTATACGTACAGTCGCGGCCCTTGAAAACTAAGACATTCACTTTTGGTATACTATTTGCTATTTTAAAAATTGGTAAAGTGTAAATTCGGTTTTCATCTAGGATAACAATGTCAATTTCAATTTTTCGGATTCGAATGGTTTTGCAATAAAATATTAGTTATTTCTGTCTACAAACTCGAAGTTCATTGTTTTGAAGTAAAGTTTTCTATTCTACGACACCGACTCGTAATTATTTGAATGACATTTTAGAATCTTCAGTTGCAGGCCATTTTACGATGCAAAATTTTGGATTTGTCACATTGTCTTAGTTTTCAACGGCCGCGACTGTACACGATCCGTTGCGCTCTAATGTATGCCACCATATTACACTATATTACACTTTATATTATTATTAATGAATGAAATGAAACATTATTAAAGTATTCTTAAGTTGTATGTACTCTTTTCTATATTTTTCCCTACTTCTTTTTACGTTATCACATCGACGCATCATTACAAGATGCTATTCATTCTTTCACTGGCTGAAAAGCAAAAACTTGTGTCCGAATAGTGAAAGAAGAGATGCGATGAGCGATAGGTTCTATTCGAGGCCGAAGCTAAGCAAGTTTAAGACGACCGGTTTGATGTTTGATGTACTGTAAATTGTGGAACCATGGCACTTGTTGAGTCAAATAATGTAACACCGCTGTGAAGGCCAAACCGGCTAAAAACGAAATCACAAAAAGTACTCGAAATATTACATTTTTGGGCAAAACTCAAGGCGTTCTGTAAAATTTTAAAAATCTTTAAATACAGGGTGATTCAGATAAGATAATGAGCCCGACGTCCAAAAATCAAATTTCATTTACGTTTTGTTCTAATTTTAATTACGATTTGCATTTGCAATCCAAGTTATCTTATGTTGCTCTGACAGTGCCATTTATGATTTATAAAAAAAACTGTTTGCCTACCTTTAATGTTTAATTCTTTCATACATTTTGTATTGGGTTTACACCGAAAAGATTTCTCTAATTTCGCTACCATTCCGCGAGAACTGAATGGCACTAATGATCGTTCTCTGCACTGATGTCAGAGTGACATAAGATGATAACTTGGATTCAACCTGCAAATCCTAATTTAAATTGGATCAAAGGCGTAAATGGAATTTGTTTTTTGGGTTGCATCGCCAGATCGTCAGGCTCATTACCTTATCTGAATCGCCCTGTATTACTATAATGATAATAATAAAATATTAGGGACCAATTTTGAGAACATTTTATTGCAATAAAATTTTAATTTATTATTTAATTAAATTTTTACTGGCCTTGTATAAATAGGCTCCAATTATCTTTTAAAAAGTATACAAACTTCTCTTAATTATGTGGATTCAAATTTTACTTCAAAGTGTAAAAGATGTGTTTATAAACATTTTTCTCTACTAAGTGCAGATCCTTCATTGAGGCAGTAAAATAATTGTCAATTGAACGTTTTCTTTCGCAGTTTGTGGAAGTGGCACCGAAAAGTACCCAAGAACTGGTCGCTGGTACGAGACTGTGTGCTTACTGGAGTCAGCAATATCGCTGTTTATACCCAGGAAGTGTGGCGGAACCGGGTACTCCGGATCCTGCTCTCGACTCCAAGTTTGTTGCCGTGGAATTTGATGATGGTGATAGTGGAAGAATAGCTTTAGAGGATATCAGGCTATTACCACCAGATTACCCAATCATTGGTGAGCTCATCTCCTTTCATTTGTGAAATAATTGACGATAAAGCCAATTGACTCCGCAAGTGTGACGTAGAAGTGTGTGGTAGGTCCAGGTTTGCGTTCCACTCAAACAAAGCGTGCAATAGTATATTAAGCATCAAGAACGGTAAGGACATTTTACCGATCGAAGACAGTTGTTTGGAGGAGGAGCACAGCGACGACTCCAATTATTGTCTGAAATCGGTAAACCCGGGATGCTTGTGACATTTTTTGCGCGATTGGTTTTTGTTAGTTTTTTTAAATAAAATATCTAAAAAAATGTTCTAAAAAGCCAAAATACTTTGGTGACGTTTTTGAATGCTTACCTACTTAGCTACAATAAACAAAATGCTTACCGATGAGTTTGGGATAGCAACGAGTAAATACAACTTGCTGTCTTGAAAACAGACGTAGTAAATAATCGAATAGAGTCTAATCGCGCAAAAAGCTTTTAACTTCGATTACTTCACCGTTGTTAGTTTTGCGTGTTAAAATTTATACGTTTACATATTTATATAGATACGTTTTAGTGATTACAACGTAACGTGCTTAGTAAATCTTACTCCAGGTACCTCGAATCTTGAAGAAACATGTATAAAAAGTTGCCTACTTTTAATTTAATTTTTGCTTTATATTAAATAATCAAGAACAGTTGTGAAATTCGCATAATAATAGGAAAGTGTGTTTTTAAATTACCTATAAGATGTTTTTTTTTTCAATGCGATATACCGTTATCAAAAAATCTTATAAATAAGATTTTCACATTTTATTCAATAAAAAAATATCTATTCATTTATTTAAAGCAGGAATCATATCGGTATTTTCCTATAAAGAAACACTATAAACATCAAGAAACCCTTCAAGTTTAAATTTGCTGCTAAAAACAGTGAAATAAATGTACATGTAATAGGTATACGGTAACTCTCAGAGGGTCTGGAGCCTTAATTTAACTCAATTTCCACTAAACCAATTCCCATCACTGAAAAAATACGCACTCATACTTAAAATTTAGGTTAAGATTTAACCACCGTTAGTTATCCTGGATCTTAACCCTGTACTGAAATACCGGGCGTTAGAATAATAAATAACAGAAAGCAGAATGTTCTTTTTTATATGTTATTATGTATTTTTAATTTCCAGAATATGATCCTAATCCTCTACTCAGCCTCAGCAAACGCCGCCGTCGTACTTCGACTAGTGTTTCAACTGAAGAACGCCGACAGGTCCCTGTCCAACAACCACCACCCCCAATTACAACTGTTGAACCACTAAAACCTATCCCTGAAATAGAAAAAGACACAGAAAAAGAAAATAAAGACATCAATAAACCCGACACGGAATCTCACAAAGAACGTAAACGATTGAAGAAAAAGAAACGTGAGAAATTGAAACAAAGACTTCTTCACGAAGACAAAAAGAAGAAGAAAAAACATAAGTGTACTGATGAGTTTTGTAAACATAAGAAACATCATAAGAAACACAGAAAACACAAGAAACATCATCATTATGATGAAAAGAAGGATGTGCAAGTGGTGCAATCGATCGAAGTTCCAGACTGTGATAGTGAAAGTGTCGAGCGTGTCGAAGAGGATGATTCATCTGTTTTTAATCCAGAAGATGAAGTTACCATCGATGATATTATTGAAGCAAAAGCAAAATCTAAGGTAATATTTTATAAAATGTTGCTTATTTTCTAGTTTTTTAAATTCTACAGAAAACTAAAAAAATAAGAGACAGACAAGAGTCATGTGAAAGCCGAAGTAAAATGAGCGCATTTTTACCGGCAAGACAATTGTGGGGTTGGTCTGGAAAGGGGTATAAAAGGCCGAGGGCCAAAGGTAGATCGAGAAAACAATTCTACAAAGCCATCCAACGTGGAAAGGAGACAATAACTGTATGTATAGTCTGTTTTTTTAAATTCATTATCATCTAGGTTTAGTCGAATAAAAAGTTCACTTTATTGTTATAATTATAACATCTAATGTTTTTCATCTTTATCATGAAAAGGTAAGCTATGTATATTATTGAAAATATAACATCAGCTAACCACACTTTTATAAAATCTTACTATTTTAACCAAATTGGGACATAAAAAAAATCAAAAAGAAAAATGTATTCAAATAGCAGCGAATGTAATACGTTTACACGTGTTATCGTGAATTGGATGAATCGAAACACATAACACAATCAGTGCATTTGGGTGACAACTCTTATACATTTATTGGCTTATGCTTGCATGATCGTTTTAACAGTAATTTTTATTGACAACTCTGAAATAGAGTTGTGAATGCATGAAAATTCTTTTTTTTTTTGTTAAATCTTATTATTTTGCTTAATGTAATTGATCATTTTTTTGATATGATAAAAATTCTTACACCTTACTGGAGTATTTTTTTTGTTTCATTAAAGCCCGCTTTTTTGTAAAGTCGCGGTCAATTCGTAGTGGCCACTTCTCTGTATAAATTTGTAAAAATCGAGTGGTGTAAATCCGACTTTAAACATCCTATTGTTTTTTTAGGGACATATCTACCAAAAATGCCAATTCTCAAAAAGTCGGGTTAGAATACTTCACATATAAAATCTACTGCGCCTGTCACAATTGTTGATACAATTTAGTTAATTCTGCTGCCAACATGGACACAACCCGTACACTAGAGGTGGCGGGCTAGAGGCTGTCAACTTTACAATATATTAAATGACCACTATGAATTGACCGCGACTAGAAACGAATAGTTTTTGTGTCAATAATTTGCAAGTTACTTTGCACATGTTTTGATGTGATGTTTTCGTTACGTTATTACTGCGTAATAAACTTGCTTAAATTCGACAGTGTGATAAAATGTTTATGATAAGTTGTCCTTTTTTGCCTGTATGTTCTTATATATCTTATTAAAAAATGGATATGGAGAAATACTTATTTATTTTACAAGTGTTGAAAAGCAACTTTCTCATGCTAATGTTTAAATTGCATGAACTTAAGCATAACGAAGGCTTTTTCACAAGTAGGACACATTTGTTTTTTCTACGACCTTTCAATAAATTATTAACAGTTTACAACTAATTACCGTTAGCAGTCTAGTGACAATGACAAAATGAAATTTTAGGATAACTACTATACACGTCAATACAATTTGCTGTTTTCACACTGTAACTTATTTTTCATTCTAGTTTTGCCTTGTCAACGAAAAGATTAACTTTCTTTGCAATGAAACTGACTTTAAGGTAGTGGTCGTAGGAAAAACTTACCACAATTTTAGAGTTGCTTTCTTATGTCCCAATGTAAAGTTACACTACTACCATCAAAATTATGTGTTAATGTCTTAAGTTTTTTGTTTAATTTTTTGTAAAAACCACTTGAGGTAAGATAGTCTTCGCACATTTTCGTATATGAGAGAAAAACAGGTAAGATCATAAGAACGATAAATGTTTAGGAAAGCATAAAGTAACTCAATTAATATTTAAAAAACGAAGAAGAAAAATGAGATATGTGTTTGTTGGGAAAAGAAGTGTTTGTTATGTTATAAGTAAGTGGGACTTAATTAAAATAAGTATTTAACTTCCAAATATGACGGTTAAAGATCAATTGTACCCATTTGAGTAAATAACAGAGCATTTTCTTTTTTGGCTGTTTGCAATACTACAACTGATAACAGATTTTTTTAACTATTTCAAGTTTCATGATGCATGCTTGTCAATGTCAAACTGTCAACAACCGGAAATTAAAGTTACATTTCTAGCCTTTAAGAGTAATTATCAGTATTGCCAACTCAAACAGTTATTCTTGATCACCTGGTAGGGATTTGATATACAGATTTGTCAACAAGAAATTACCACCTAGGATTTGAAGTAATTTTGAATGTCTAAGGTTGGTTACCCCTTGTTGCTGACGGTTGACGTTTTCTGTCAATTATACATACAAGCTGACAGGTGACAACCTAAATTTTGACACTAGTTACAAAATCTTTTGTTTGTCACCAGAAACAAACCTAACCAAATTTATGGCAACCTATTCACAAATATCCCCAAATTTTAGGGGGTAATTTCTTATTGATACGACAATAAATTTTAGAATCTTCTGACTAATATTATACATATTGCAAAATAAGTTTAAAGAACTGTGGGTATTTTAAAGACAGACTATATTACAGAAAGTCAACATATCAAAATGATAATGCGTACAGATGTGTATGTAGAAGATTACTGTTGAATTTAAGCAAACTAATACTTCTCATCTTAACGGAAACCGTTAAAATTACTTTCACCTTGAAAGAACTAGAAATTCGATAACAAATTATATTTTGTCTGGAATGTTTCATTAAAATCAATACAATAAATACTTTTGTTCCAAAAATACACCTAACATGTACTAAGTCACATCACTTAGTATATTTTTACACTGATTTTGTTTTATGTAATCGTAAATACACATTACACATTATATATTTTTTTTAATCCAAAATACTTTAACGTCGTAAGGTCGATATGAAGCAGATAGCAGACGCGATTGAATGTAAAATCGAGACGACATCCCAGATTTTACAATAAACCGAGTGTGTTATTTTAGTTTCAACCGTACTCAGTAATTTTTGGTTACAGGGAAGGATTATGGCGAAATTATTTATAAATAACGTCAAATAATGTAAAACTTGACGCAAGTAACCTGTCTAGTGTAACATTCGTTATAATTTTTAACGGCAGTTACAATTAATGAAATTTCTGTCTGTCATCGAGAGAGTATCACAAAAATTTATAAATAATTTTAAAATATTATTGGAATTGGAATACTATAACGTTTTTCCATTTGATTTGTTTAAATGTTTATAATCACCCCAACGAAATTTAAATGAATCCAAACCAAATAACATTTGAAATTCAAATTACTAGCTCTGACTAAGGCGAGATTCTTTTAACAGATTTCGCATTTTGATGTTAAGTTTATTTTTTCACAAAAGCAGATTTGTTTGACCTTGTGATATTTCGCCGAATCAGTGTTAGTGCATGCCTGAACTTATAGCTAAAACATTTTTATTAAACTATTTTAATGTAAAGGTCGGCGATTCAGCTGTATTCCTTTCCACCGGAAGACCTGATAGACCTTATATTGGGAAAATTGAAGCCATGTGGGAACTTTGCGGAACAATGGTTGTTAAAGTGAAGTGGTTTTATCACCCTGAAGAGACAATTGGTTGTCCTTTGAATTTGCAGTATCCTGTAAGTTGTCTCTTAATTTTCTTGAGTTTATTTAACAATTCATGCATAGGGAGCTCTTTTTGAATCGCCACACATTGATGAAAATGACGTTCAAACAATTTCACACAAATGTGAAGTGCTACCGTTAGAGGAGTACACCGAACGACTTGGAGACGATCCGCAACGTTACGCTATGATCTACGACAACAACGACATCTATTACTTGGCGGGATATTACGATCCGACCACAACCACCCTTAAAATGGAACCGAATATTCCTTTTTCAAAACCAGACTGACACAGTAAAGACAAAACTGTAGCAATAATGCAATCTTTGAATAACAATAACTACAAGTAAAATAAGATAGTGATTTTTGGTGCTATATTGGAAATGTATATTATTATGTTTTTCTCGTTTGAATTTGATGTTTCAGTTGAAGTGTTAAGTTTCAAATTGATTGTAGTGTTTATTTGGAAGTGTTGTGTTGAATTTAACAACAAATGTACAAATAATACTACTTCTTAAGTGGATTTTTTTGAATGCATTTTTGGATTGATTTGATAGAACAATTCTTAGAAGTATTAATTTGTATCGTGTACCAGTTTTTTTTAGTTTTAATGTTTGTTTTAAGACAATCTGAGCAGTGGATTTTTTTCTATTTTGTACAATTAATTTTTACTGATAGTTACATGTGGATTTTTCTATCAAATTCAGTGTTGTAGATATATTTCAAATGTAAATAATCTTAATGTTATAGTTTTGCACAATGTAGATTGAAAAATATATTTTCATAGAATTTGCCAATAGGATAAGTCATAACGGTCTTATAATATTGGTATCCATAAAAATGTCTCATCAATCTTTGGAACTATTGGTCTGATATGGGTGCCTAATTTTGTACATTATATCTAAAAAGACCTAATGGCTACTATTGGAAACAGTATTTTATCAAAAACTTTGAAATTGTTTGACATCTTACTGCATGTACTTAACGTAAAGTGGTGGAAATTAGTCGATAAGATTTTCAGAAGCAGTCATTAAAATGGTTGTATAGGGTTAGACCCGAGGTATTTAAAAGTGCGAAAAAAAAACTATATTTTTTTAAAAGGTAGATTTTAATAACGAGACTGGCCAAGTGTCTTGTCAAAAATTTCAGAGTTTTCTTAGTGTTAATTTTTTTTTAAATAAATGTGCAATGTACTCATGTTTTTAGTATGTACTTAGATCTCTCAATACTATAAATATATCCATATGTAGTAGCTTTCAAATATGCTTAATTATATAATAGAACACAATAAATGTCTCCATACTTGAAGAAAGAATTACATGAAATATCATTCTTCCCAAATATTTTCTTTAAATTTATACCAATACGCTTATTAAAATCAATTTAGTTTTAGGTGCTTATAACTATACTTTCTCAAATTATAGTCTGAGTTTGTAATATCTATGTGATTTTTAATATATCTTTTTAAAAACATGTTTTTTTAAAATTATATCAACATTCTATAATTTCATAATGTATTCAATAAATGAGTACGCAACAATGTTGATGTATTTTTATTTAACACTCATATAGGTGCTTTTTGATTTACTTAAAAAATGTAAAAAACGAATATACTTACAATTATCATCGTTTAATTATTTATTAAAAACTTAAAAAACTCTATTTTCTAAATGTATCTCTGTTTAGACATGTATACAAGAGAATATTTTTATTATTGGTGTGTATAAAAAGTAATATTTTTGCATACTATGTATTTGAAAAGTGGTGCTAATTAAAGCAAACAATATTATTGCATTGATGATAAGCAGGGTCTATTTAAAATGAAAATAATAACATGTATATATTATACATTTTTTTGCTTATCTTGTAAATATGCTGCAATATTTTCTCTGATATTAAATATACGAGTTTATAGAAACATTTTGTTTTAATGTTTAACCTTCGTTGTTTTAGATCATACGACCTGATTACTCATTTCAGCAACTAATATTGTAGAAATGTAAAAATAGATACTTTTTGTATTTCCAATATTCAACTGATAGTATAGTACCTAACATGTGGCATGTTGAATTATTAAGTAAATCAAAATATACATACATCTAATTCAGCTATTGTATTATTATAAATTTCCAGACCCTGAAATATATATATTACAAAAAGTTTTGAATTTAGAACATTTTGCGTTACAAATAACAAGCGCGCGATGCGGTTTCTTACATAGCTAAATTATTTAAGTTCGTCATAACTTCTATACAAGGTGTTTACGGTCTTGGAGTTAAAATTGATCTAGTAATAGAAGAGTACAGAAATACTGTAACCTAGAAAAAAACTCACACAATTGTTATTATTAAGTACGTTGTACTCCAAAATATTGGTATACGGTTTGAGAGTCACTGGAATAAGTTCCTTGTTCAGATAAAATTGTATTGTTTCAACAAATAAAAATATCGTATCCATGACAATGAAAGTGAAAAGTCACTTCATAGTTTTGACACTGTCATCATTTGATTTGCTTTTGCTTTAGTTTTTATCAAAATGTGAAGATCTCTTCCAGCGAAATGGTTTCCAATAGGTTTGATTCGTTTTTCTTATTTTTTTCCAAATTTATAAACATGGATGGCGGCAAAAAATATTACAATAATAAATTGGTTGTCGTGATTATGATTTACGGTGAAACACAAGGTAATTTACCAATGGCCATTGTTGCAGCCGAAACAGTAGTTCTCAAAAAAATATAATAAAATAAATTATTTCCTTTCACAACGTGAATTTTTGTTTCATGTAGCGTATTACTCGTAGTTTTCTTGTACCGTGAATTTCATCTCCTTTAAATTTCAACCTGAAGACCGTAAACACCCTGTATAGGGTGAATGAAAAGTAGGGAGAATAAGCTTAAACAACGTCTGTGAAGAAATAATACCTCCCCGAAATTTAGTTGTTCTGCAATAGAATTAATTAAGACAGAAGTTACATAAATTACAAATATCAATTGGAAAAAATTGTGTAGAACACGTTATTCGCGAAGAAAACATCTGTAGAAGTAGATTGGTAACAGAATTAATTATTCATGTGGACGACGAGTCCAACGACGAAAGTGATGAAGTAGATTTTTTTCGGTATTTATTTTTCTCGCCATTTTATTTCTTGTACCTAATTATTATTATTTATCAACTATGGAAATAAAGATCATTCTTACAATTAATAAATACTATGTATTTAATTTTCCAAATTTATTCCATTTTAAGCCCATCATGTTGTATCTAAGTAATGTTGAATCACAATTAAGAAATCTGTTTTGAATTTTCTCTCTAATAAATTATTAACATTACTTGAAAATATTAAGAAGAGGACTTGTAAACGCAGACAATTTTTAAAACACAAAAGTATAAGAATACGGGCCTGGACCAGCATTGTGGAAATCTGTTTACCTCGCTTTATTGTGGTCTAGAAATGATGGAATTAGTGGAAATTAAATAGAAGATGAAGTCATAAACACGATATATCTTTCTGCCAACTCTAAACAATGTATTGCATATTTATCGTTATTATTTATTTTTTATTATCTACATTTATAATTCGCTATGGTAAAACAACAACAACATGGTAAAAAAGTATGTAAATGTTCAGCTTCGCCATATAAAGTTACACTTTTGTCAACTTAATCTGCTATTACATATTACTTATATTGATACTCAAGTACCTACTGATTCCAAACACCGGTTTCTTTTTTTTAAGATAAAGTATACAAAAGAATCGGTGTTTTTGTTATCTATTTTTACATGATTTTTTCTGTACAAATTAATAGATTGTGATTATCTGGACACAATTTAGAAATGTGATTTTAAATTTATATCATATCAAACTCAACGTGTAAACGATGGTTTAATAATAGTATATTATGATACGAGTTTTATAAGAAGCACTAGCTTGCACCCGTGACTTCGTCCACGTAGTTTTTCGATATAAATTTTTGTTGTTTCCCACGAAGTTAGTCTGTTTATCTATTTTTTTCTTGATTCATCAAAACAACGCGGAAGCAGAGAACCGATTTTTAAAAGAATGACGAAAGTCCATTACAAAACACTTACACCCCATTTCACCTTGTCGAATTTTCAAAAAATGTCTTTTTAGTGCATTTCTACACTCTCAAAAGTCAAAATTTTATATTTTTTTTTTTTTTTTTTAAAAGTTTGCACCCTTATTTCATCATTCATTTCAGTTATACAGGGTTATTCATAAATATGAAGCAATATTTGAACCTCAAAAATGACCAATAAAATGATGTTAATTTAAATAATAACTCGTGTCCTATCTCTACTGATAAGAATTTTACAGCCCTCGGAATGTAAGTATGGAAATTTGATTTTTTTGTAATAATTTTGAAACTATTTGACCAAATATTATAAAATTTGGAACATTTCCCTGTGACAACATACCCTTTGAACTGGTAATCACAAAAACCGGGTACATCCACTCAATTTCCGGTTCCAGCAGTTGCAGGTCACATTTTCTGTTTTTCCATTTTTTTGCTCTCTTAACACCAATTTTTTATTGCCCAAATAGATAGAGTAAGTAATCAATTTCGAATAAAAAACGCATAATCTTTAATACCCCTAAAATAGACCGTTTCAAAGATATTTTAATTTAAACTGAGGACTGCACAACGCTGAAATCAAAAAAATAGGGATTTCGAGTAAATGATATACACGGCAACAAATGACCATGGTCCCACAAATCGCTGTCAGGAATCTGTCAACTTCGACATTGGACGATTCTTGGGCGATTAATTGAAAATATTTAATAAAAGAGTTTACTTCAGACTCCAAACGTAATCTACAATAAATCCAAATCGATCTCGTGGCATTTAATTTATAAAAAATTCACAAAAATTTCTCGTCAAAGTTAACAGTTCTGGTGGAGGACGTGCGCTTGGAGACAAGTGGTAGGTATTTACAAAATGGAGCTTCATCACATTATGCCAGAATCGTCATCAGTTAGTTGAACAACCATTTTTCCGGAAGATGGATTCGCCGCCAAGGTTCAACTGTATGGCCATCACAGTCACCAGATTTAAATCCGTGTGATTCTTTTGTCGGGTCACATGAAACAATTAGTGTACGCAGCTCAAATTAATACCCTCGAAGGGCGATTGTCTTTACGCTGTTTACGTTCCGAAGTTTTTTCTTATGAATGAATGTAAAGTTGGTATTAAGATATAGCCGGAGGCGGATTTTCAGCCTCAACTTATTTTTAATTTTAAGTAAAAACGAGATGCTATCGGTAAAAGTTGGAAACAGAAATGTTGTTTCTCATGACGAGTTCCGTTAGTAGTTAAAATATTTTCTCCAATCGTTTTATTAGTGACAACCTCACTTTTTAGAAACATAATATTGAAACAAAGAATGTAATGTTATTAACTATTTATTTACATCTGTAATAATAATAATATTTATTGTTCAACAAATGTTGTACATCCAATTACAGGACAACTTACTTAACCAAAACTATAAAACTAGAATAATATTGAATGAATGAACATTTTCAGAATAATTGTAAACAATTTTGTTCTACACTTCATTTCAAAAACCTTTCGTTAGATTTTCCGAAATTTGGCTTGGATTGAAGTGTACTGTCAATAGCGGCTTTTACAATTTCTGATAACACAGATTTTCTTGAGACACTTTTCTCTTCGCTTTGCTTTTTGAACAATTTTGAATTTTCAGTGTTTGCACACGAACTGACAATTGTTAAACAATATTTAGTAAAATTCAATGTTGCCAATGTCACCATACTAAAAGCCGCTGTCACTATTGCACTAGTACAATAATGGATTTGCATTATTATACCGTAATTGAACGCCTTCATTCTACGCCGTCAGTGCTGTACAATAACAACAATATTGTTATACGCTCGAAGAAAAAAAACATTAGGTACCTACGTTTCAAAATAGAATGATTTGCTCAAACTCTGACTAAAGTTTTGCACTATAGATTTTAGATGCCTGTGTTGAAAGATTACGCACGGAAAGCGACATTCATTAAAGCAAATTTCTTCCCATTTTAGCAATTTTGAGTACATTAAAACACTTTACTTTATAACTAATTTGAGTAAATAAAAACAAATTATATCTTGAGGTTTTTTAAGCGAGAAAAAGCGTGCCACATAACTCATAATTATAAATTCCAAATGACTGTCCACCATGCATTTTAATACACAGAACGACAGTTTACATTAGTCTGGATGAAAAATACCTACTATAATAAAGTAAATTAATGAGAAAATACCATTTTGTATCCTAAAGCATATTTTTTACAAAATACATATACAAGCACGGAAACCAGCGTTTGCAAAAACAGTAATGTCCGAGAATGTCTAAACATGCAAAAAATTTAATAAAAAATTTTTGCAAATTAAAGTTATAAGGCAGAATGAATGTTAGTGAAAATACACTTTTAAAATTTTTAAATTCGTTTAAAGGAACAAACATTGTAATGATTCAGGCTGAGTCATATACAGTATGTTCCCGGATTGAGTTTACAAGAGGAAAAAAAATTACCTTTGATTTTACCCCAAAACTGCAAAGGAAAAATATTTTTTGCTTTACCTGAAACGAGCAACTCTAATTAAAACTTCATTATTCTAACTCCTTAGAATTATTTTTAATTTTTCTCTGCTTTTTAAATCCCGTCACATTGGCGGTTTTATTTTTTTGACAATGATGTCACTTTGACAATAGAGTTTTCGCAAGTTAAATAACAAAAATATCTGTGAAAAACCTAATTTTGATAACTAGCAACTCAAAGAAACAGCTTTAAGATAAAAAAAAGTCATTTTTATCAAGAACTATCATTATTTAATTAATAAATTAATTGTCAAAGTAAGATATAGTTGTCAAATAAAAAAACCGCCAATGTGATA